TGTGTATATATCACATCTTCTTTATCCACTTACCTGTTGATTGCTACTTAGGTTGCTTTCATATCCTGGCTATTGTAAATAGTGCTGCTATGAATACTGGGGAGCATATATCTTTCTGAATTAGAGTTTTCATCTTTTCCAGATATATCCCCAAGAGTAGGACTTCTGGCTCACAAGTAACTCTATTTTTAGTTTTCTAAGGAAGCTCCATACTGTTTTCTATAGTGGCTACACCAATTTACATTCCCATCAACAGTGCAGGAGGGTTCCCTTTTCTCCTAACCCTCTGGAGATTTTTCATATCATGGATTTACCTTCCCTGACTTTTTCATCTGGCCTCTTCTATTTATTTTTTAATCTTTTCTTGGAAGTCTCCTTATTAGGTTTTTACAGGCTTAATATATTGCATTGTGATGTCTGTCTCAATGATTAGACTGTGAGTTCTCAAGGCAGGCTAGATTTTTCTCTTCTAACCTAAATGCCTAATGTCTAATCTTAATGTCTGGCGTAGTGCTTAACACTCAGGAAATACTTTTGGAAAGACTTGAATTAGTAAGTGAAGTTCCTTCTGCTTTAAATACTTTTTGTTCCTATTTGGTACCACATCATCAGTGGTACATGACTCAAAAAGGCAGAGTCCCTTGATTTATTATATAATGAAAATTTTGTATGTCTATTTACTATCTTCAATGCCATTTTTAATGGCTTCAAAGAATCCCACAGTGTGAAAGAACCACAGTTTATCTAACCAATCCTTTTTTTGGGGGGGAGGGGATATGTGTGTTAGATACGTACATTGATTCTAAATTTTTTTTATTATAAATTTTTGAAATTATAAATAATACTGACATAAACATGGTTTTAACTCTACCTCTGAGCTACTTGATTATGCTTAGGATACATTCTTAAGAGTCAAAGAGCAGTATACTACTAGACTGTTTCTCAGTGATGTTATATATTTACAGTAAATAAGAGTACACATTTTTCCTGTGCCAACACTGAGTACTATAAATATCTGCAATGAGCAAGATAAAATGTGTTACTTCAATATTATTTTAATTCATATTTATTTGATTAGTAGTAGAATTGAACATTTTCTTCCTATGTTTTTATTTATTATTTTGGCCACACTTTGAGGCATGTGGTATCCCTGACCAGGGATCCAACCAGAGCCTCGTGTAGTGGAAGTGCAGAGTTTTAACCACTGGACCAGCTGGGAAGTCTCTCTTATGTATTTTTCCCCCTTCCTGTATTTTTAATACAGGTATGCGTATGAATGGTGGTTGTAACATTTCTCAGTAGAGAAATAATTTGGAGTGGTGTCTGTAAGGAAATGGGTACTTTTTAAAATCAAACCTGTCTTCTCAGTTAGCAACAAAGAGAAAAACCTCCCTGGAAAATTTCTTGTGAACTTTATTTATAACCCCAAATGTGATTATAACACAAAATCCCTCTTTCCCCTGTGGATCTCTAGCTAAATACGTTGCCACCACCTTCTTTAACATACAGGCCCTCTTAGTTATAGCATAGCTGTGACCAGGCTGGAATATTTTTAAAGTTTATACACTGGACCAACAAAAGTAACATGGTTAGGGAGAGTAATCCAAAGCTAAATAATCTGTTTTATCTGATATTTTAGTTTTCTATCTATTGCCATGTAACATAAAATTCCACAATTCAGTGGCTTTAATCAACAAATATATATAGCCTCTTACAATTTCTATGTGGGTTAACTGGATCCAACAGTGCAATTCTATATCATGTGGTAGGGCTGCAGTCTTCTGAAGGCTCAACCTGGCCGGAATACCCACAATGGCTCACTCTCATGCAGGACAGACATTGTTTGATAGCTGGGAACTTAGCTGGGGCTCCTGATTGTTCTCCACACCGTTTCTCCATGTGGCTTGGGTTCTAAGACGGAATACTCTTAGGTGTGCCTCTGTATGACAGAAGTCACCTTGTGGAGTGAAAGTGAAAAGTGACACTGTTAGCCACTCAGTCGCATCCAATTCTTTGTGATCCCATGGACTATAGCCCGCCAGGTTCCTTTGTCCATGGAATTCTCCAGGCAAGAATACAGGAGTGGGTAGTCATTCCCTTCTCCAGAGGAATCTAATATTAGCAAGCATTTCAAAGGTCAAACCCCAGAGAATGAGGGCTGGAAAAAGGAATTTCCTCTCCTGTCTGCTTGGAAACAATCTCCTGTCGGTCTCATTACCTATATGAACCACCATTTATATCTTGGTGGCTGAAATGGTAACCTACCACTCTCAGGGGACACGCTGGCTTCTCAGAGACCTCACCTAGATAACAATTCAGAACTGGGGGAACAGTGCCAATAATCATTCCAGGGATATGCACTTACATAGATTGCCAAGGGAGGGGGGAGTAGGGTGGTGGTCCGTTTCATTGCAGTCGTATGACAATTACTATCTTGTAATTATCTCTCACTGTAAGAGAGATACATTTTGAGAGCTACATTATCTCTCATTGTAAGAGAACACTGTAAACAGGCAACCTATTTATACACTACTTAAGAATGAAATTGACATGGGAAAATAAGAGAGACAAATCAACCAATCTGGTATATGTCTACGTCAACTACACTAAATACGTCATTAATATTTTATGCTTTAAAATGTATGTCTTGCTAGCATACTTGCCATTTTCAAAGTCTCTTATTCCTGTGTGACATACACAAGGAAAACAAGAATTTAAAAATGCTCCAAATGTAATTAATTTGATGTGGATAATTTTGAATTTCTAGATGCTGAATAATCACATAAACTTTTAAATGTTTGAGTTTCCAACTATAAGGGTAGGCAAATGTCTTTTCCTCTTACATTGCAATTGTTCCCAGGGTCTAAAGCCCAATAAAGATGTCATTCGAAGTTTTCCTTAACATTTGTAAGATTTAATGACTAGTAAAAGCAATGTGTGCCTTTCTTGTGAGGAGGGTGCTGCAAGCCAAGGCCATCAATTTCCAGCCTATGATATAAGTTATGCTGAATAACAATTTGAAGAAAACTCCAAATCCAGCAATACACATTTAGGTGCGTAGTAAGTCATGTAGATGGTACCTTTCCCCTAAATTATAATCTAATTATACTCTAGCAAAATGTCAAGAAGTTACAATTGGGTGGACTGGGTGTACTTTCTGGTAGAAACAAAGAAAAATTCCATTCTATTTTTATTATCAAAATTTTCTTTTCTTTGCATATAGGTGAAGGCTTATAGATCAAGTCTTTTTAATTTCACCTTGGAATTACATTCTCTTTGCTTCAATTCCTTTGAGTTATGCACAAAGTCTCCTGTTCTAAATCCACTGCTGTTTTTCTTCTCTGCTATGACTTCGATGTACGCTGGAGGCAGGTAAAATTATGAAAACCCTTAGCCCTTAATTCTGTGAAGGTGGTGACGTCAGAGAGAGACATATGTTAGGTGGTGATGAAAAATTTAAGTCTGGCTTTATACAAGGTAATCTTTTTTTTTTCCCCCATTCCTTCCTTTCCCTTTTGTTTTAAAAGCAAATTTTTTCATCTTTATTCTCCAAATTTGGGTGTATTTGCCCCTCAGAATTTCAATACCTTTTTTCCTCTCTGCTAAACAAGACTTGTGATGACCTGTTTTCCCTTTCATCTTAAAACATTTTGCTTTTATCTTTCTTTATGTGATATATGGGCTTCCCTGGTGGCCCAGACAGTAAATAATCTGCCAGTAATGCCGGAGATTACCCTGGGTTCGATCCCTGGGTCAGGGAGATAGCCTGAAGAAGGAAATGGCAACCCACTCCAGTATTTTCACCTGGGAAATCCCATAGACAGAGATGCCTGGTGGACTGTAGTCCCTGGAGTCACAAGGAGCTGGACATGACTGAGCAACTAACACTGATGATGATGTGATATATAAATTCAAATAATTATTTTAGTTTTGTTTCTATTGAAACAACCACACTGTGTTTAGGGCATTTAGCATCATCTGCTTCTTCTCAATGAGGGCATTTATTCTTACAAATACTCTACTAGCACCTATAGGCCAGATATATTAAGGTACTCAAGATTAGACTGCCCAAATCCCAGGGAGCAAATGATATAAGACATTCACGGTTTAATGCTGCCTTGCCTCCTTCCACAGGTGTTAACAGTGAAGTGAAAGTTGTCTCTCTGGCCTGCTAGCACACCCACTTCTCCTCCAGACTTATTCACTTAAGGATTTAAAATGTAAACCTGAGGTGTTGGAAATTTTCAGGAATAGCAAGCTCTTGATACTGCCTCTTAGCCTGGTCATGCACAAGTCATCATTTCAGATCATGAGAAAACTGTCTGCCTCGTTTTGGAATATTAAACCCACTTGGAGAAAACAGATATTTGCAACCATGAGCTGTGGAACAGCTGAATTCACTTTAGTATTTTAAAAAGGTGTAAAGCTTTAAAACTTTTCTAAGGACACTCCTGTGCTTCTGGTCTTATGTTGCTCCCCTCCTTCTAAATTTCCACGTGATAGCTGAAATCAAGTTCATTTTTCAAGTCCATCTCAAATAACCCTTTCTGTAGGAAACTATTTCCTCTCTCAAACCAATATAATTTTTCTCCTGATTCCTCCGTAGTACTTCCTAACTTTGACACCACTTTTGTTTCATTTTTGACTGCTAGTATTTTAAACACTGGCTTCCCTGGTGGCTCAGAGGGTAAAGCCTTTAAACATTACATATATATTTAAGGCCTTAAGGCTTCGAATAGTAAGTACCCTAAGGGTGAAAAGCCACTTTCTTCTGCAATTTGTGTTCGTTTTTCACTAATGCCTCAGGAAGAACACTTCACTGTTGATGGGGGGCAGGGGGGAAGGTCACAGATGATGATCCGAGCTGTTTTTAATCGTAATATAATTGATCTTTTAAACTAGTCTGAGAATGAGGCGAAACTAACTTTCACATTGGAAAATCCCGAGAGGAAAACACCCTTCAGAGATCTACAGGCAGAATGAACCCGCCTCCACGCTGTTTAGAGCAGCTGTCTCAGGAACCCTCCCTTCCTTAGAATGTGGGAGAGGTTCGGTGGGGCGGCAGCTGCAAGGAATCTTCCCCGTTCCTCGTGCAAATGATCTTCCCGTCCTACACTCCCTTCCGAGGGGAAGGTGGCAGCTGTCAGGGCATCCCAGTGGTAATCTCTTCCCGAGTCTTTGCCGAGCACGGCAGGCGGGCAGCAGCTGAAAGCTGTCAGAGGTGGGGACTCTGTGCTCCCCTTAGACAAGGGCAGCAGCCTTGCTGGCTCCGGTACAGCCACCTCTCTGGCTCGCAGCGGTCCCTCAGGTGTCCTTCTCCAAGAAGACACCTTGGCAACGAAGGGCGGGTTCCCTCCGCGCCAGGAGACCCTACGGTAACTAAACAACAGAAGGAGCGCAGGAGTCGCCGCCTGAGCACTCGCCAAAGCACCTTCACAGATCGGGGAGTGGAAGGTGGGGGAAGAGTGGTCTCCTGAAAAGAAAGGTCTTTTCGGGCCGGGCTAAGGATACACCTGGAGCTACCTGCGCGGCGCGCCCCCCGTCCTCACGGGCGGTCCTGGAGCGAGCCCGCGCCCGGCGCCCCCGTCCCGCCGGCCCCCGGGGGCCGCCTTCGTTTCCCCACCCCGCCGCGCGGTCGCCTCCGCCGTCGCGCCCGCCCCACCGCCCCGCGCGCTCGCGCACGCGCACGCCGCTCCCGGCCGCCCTCGGCGCTGTCATGGCGGCGGGGAGCAGCTTCAGCGGGCACAGGGGTAGCGGCGCTAGCGGTGGCGGGGCGAGCTGTGGCAGTAGCATCCTCAGCGCCCGCGGCGGGGTCCGCAGCCGCACCCGTAGCGCCGGCAGCGGCTGTGTTTGCAAAGGCTGAGGGCAGGGGTGGGGCGGGCCAGGAAGCCATGGAGTTCTGTGCAGCCTCGGACTCCCGGGGAGCGGACTAGGGAAACTTGGAGGCTGCGGCCAGGTGCGCTGACCTCTCTCTCCTCCCTCCTCTCCTCGCCGCCGCCGCCGGGCCTCCCCCGCCCTTCTGGCCACTACACACCTTCCCGCCTCTCCCCGACGAGCCTCAGGTGCCCGCGAGGTGCTCCACTCCTCCCCCTGGGCCGAGCGTTAGAGTCGTCGCCGCCCCCTTCCCCCGCCCTTTCCTGCCCTGGATCTCCGCCGCCACCTCCGTCTCGCGGCTGCCGGGCGGGGGGGCGAGGACGATCCCGCGGTGTCTGGGTGAGGGGCAACTTCCTACCTCGAGGGTCGCCTTGGGGCCCCTGCTCTCCTCCAGCCCCCCCTCTTCCCGGCGACAGTTCTCTTTTCCGTGCACCTGTGAGGAGAGGTTGCCCTGCGCCGGGAACCTGCGAGGGTGTGGGGGAGGAGGGAACCTGGTCCCGGGCCTCCCGCTCCCGCCTGCGCTCGGAACCCCGCGCCTCGAGCCGCGGGGACGCGGGTGGCTGGAAGCTGGGTGCTCGGAGGAGCTGCCTCGACGGACAGCAGCTACTCCCCTCTCTCCCCCAAAACCCTACAACAAAACCGAGCCCCTTTAACATTGATCTGATCTTCCAATAGGGTTTGGCGTTATTGTCAGCCTCCGGGAGAGAGATTGGACAAACATTCTCCAGAATCAGCAGGGCGACGCCAAGGACTTTCCACACCAACTGCTCTTGGGGTTTGTCCACAGCTCGGAAGAGTGACCCTTTCCGTTTTGCGTGGCGTCCGTGTGCTACTGGCGCGGCGACTGGGTCCCGGCGTGACTCCGAGTTGCCCTTTCCCGTGAACTCGCCATGGCCAGTGAAGACAATAATGTCCCATCCCCGCCACCAACAGGTGATGACGGGGGAGGTGGGGGGAAAGGAGAAGCAGCCCCTGCCGAAGGGGGTGCCTTGTCCCTGACCCCAGGACTCCCCATCAGGGGTATCAGAATGAAATTTGCCGTGCTGACGGGCTTGGTTGAAGTTGGAGAAGTATCCAACAGGGATATTGTAGAAACTACCTTTAACCTGGTAAGTAGATCTCTGTTTTATCAGCGTATCTTCTCAGTGGGTTGGAGAACAAGACCTTAGAACTGAAGGCCATGTGCTTCACTCAGGCTGGTGATAGGAACAAAATTCTGCTGACCTAAGTTAATCACTTTCTGATATTTTTCAACTTAAGGGGAATTATGTAAATTTACACCTTCCAGGTTTTGTGAAAGTGAGCAGGTCACTTTGGTCCCAAGAAAGTAATTGTTACTATGGAAGTATTATGGAGGACTCCTGTGGAGGAGTTTTATTCTATAATTTTTTTTTTTCTCCCCTTGGGCTGTATATCTAAGTGTGCATTTCTCTTTGACATTTTAAATGAGTTCTTGTGCCCTTTGTTTTGGACTTGAGAAATAATGTAAAGGGTAGTTCTGCCTACTCTTTTTTGAGTAAGTTATGTTTTGCCATACATTTTGAACAAAAAATTCTTGTTCACAGCGCTGATGAAAGATTAATTTGCTGCAAAGTTAGCATCTATATTTAATTTCGATTAGTTTTATTTTTGGACATAAGGAACAAAAGTCAAATTTTGGAATGAAATTTAGGGTTACATCTTTTGAAAATTGAGTGGCAAAAAATTAAAAAGAGGATTGCAGCAGAAGTAGTATGATCTTTATTTCTCTTGTGAATTCATGTCTATCAGCAAAGCATATTTGGGCATTGGAAGCTGCTGGTTATCTTACTATGAGCTACTGAATGTTATTTTTAAAAGGTGGATATGCCCTACTTCCCTTTTCCTGTAGTCATAGAAATAGGTTTCATTTCTAATGGGGACTTTTTATATTCCTTTATTTCAAACTGTTGCCTGTCAATGTACAATAAATTTGGCTTTGATTTTTCCCCTTCTTCCACCTACTCACCTGTGTTACAAGATAATGGAAGGGAACAAGTATGAATGTGCAGTAGTTGAATAACTGTTTAGCCCCTTTCCCTTTTGCCTCTATTTTTTCAAGGTTAGGTTTGTTTTATTCAGGGCAGTTAGTTATTTCCTTCACTAGACCTTTACTAATAGACTAGTTACCTGTGTTACAATTTCTAGAATGTGGTAAAATTTCTAGTTAGATGAAATTCACTTACCTGTGGAATATGAAAATTTTGAACAATAGAGTATTTCTCTAGCAGTTTGTTGTGTTGGGAGTTTATATGCAAAGACATACATGTACACACTTTAAAGTAGGTATATTGTGGAAATACTGAGATGTACACAAAAATAGAACAGTGTAATAAGTTCTGGTGTCTATTATCCAGTTTCAACAGTTAAAAACGTTTTGGGAATCTTGCGCATGTGTGGACTTTCACAGTTTGTGAATCTGAGGAAGATAAATGGCAAGTTGATGTATTCTTTTATCTCAAGATATACTTGAGAACTTCTCGATTTTTCTTTTTTAAATTTTTCTAAACCTCATGTTTCTTGGATGTTAAAGAAAAAATCTGTGATAGTGATACAGTCCATCATTAATTGTTTGTGTGTGAAATACCACATTCCTTTGGCAGAGGAGGATTCCAGCTCCTCTGTTTGAGTGCCCTTTGTGAAGGTGGATGACCAAACATGAGCAACTTGCATTTTATCATTAAGGAAAACCCAAATTCTGTAGTAATAGTTTATATGCTGCCTAGAATTCTAGACCTGGATATAGATTTTAAGGTGATTGGTTAAGTCTTTTATAGCTGTCTGTGGGGCAGCAGGTGTCTGGGTAAAAGGAGGGGAAAATCTGTTCAATTACACCTCCTCTTCACCACCATTCTCTTCTCATGTAGAGCAGAGAAAGTTGCTGAGAGGATCAGGTTAGTTCTTTTCTTCTGTTCTTCCTTACAAGACTTTTCATGCTCCTACCCGGGTATCAGGCGTCTTGGCCAGTCTTTTGAAAATCTCAGAAACTGAAAATGTTAGGAATCTGGTAAGCTAGCCCGTTTCAATGTTGTTAGGACTGCTGTACTTAAATATTTTCTAATAGTTATCAGCCTTTGTCTCTATTCTACTTAAAGAAGGAAGTTGTATTAACTAATAATAGGTGCGATAAAAAAAAAAAGTTACTGCAGTTTAGTACCAGCTAGGCAATGGGCCAGGTGCTAAGTGTTTTAAAATTCTTTCCTCAAGTCTTTAACACATGGAGCTTATTTTATAGATGAGGAAAGGGAGAGCCTGACAGGTGAAGCAGATTGGTGATTCTTAGAATGACGAACTTTCTAGGAATACATCTGTTTCTTGAGTTGATGTAGAGTTGTTTGCTTTCCTGAGCAGATATTTATAGCACAGGCATAGCTTTCCCCAACCTAAGGACAGAACAATCATTGGTCCTGCTAAAGGTGAATAGTGAAACTTTGTTCACATTTCATTTCTTCTTCTTATTCAAATAGCTTTCAAAAAACTGCTTAGAAAAGACCTAAAAAGTAAAAAAAAATTTTCAGGTTCAGTCAGGATTTTCAATCAGAATGTAGATGTAGAAGGTTGATTATTAGCTTTTTTTTTTTTTTACAGTCAGTATGTTGGATTAAAAATTTTTTAATTGTGAAAAATAGCATACAGACAAAAGAATGTCTTAAATGTATAAGTAATAAGATATTATAACAATATAAGCCCCATGAAACTTCCATCTAACTTAAAGAATCAGCATGTTGCCAGTATCACTGAATCCTTATGCAAGCACCTCCTTTATCCTTCCTTCACTGGAGTTTTTGTTAGTCAGTTTATATAGCTTTTGTAACTTTTTCCTATTTTTCAGACATTTTATTAAAATAGCTTATATCTACCTATTCTTTCTAAACAATTACATGTTAGTTTCTTTAAACCATAAAGTTTGTATTGTTAAAATTAAACAGCCTCCCCTCCATGAGAGTTGTCCAGAGAGGTGGTAGAGCTATATAACTTGAGGTCTTTACAGAGTGTTGTCCCCAACTTTGCTAATGTAGCTTGACCTTACACTATTAAAATATTCTTTGAAATTTGCCACCCTTTTTGTAATTTCTTTTGAGAATCTTTGTATGTAAGTTTTGATTAATAGTGCACCTGTGTATTCAGGTGTTTCAAACTTGTGGTTTTACATTTTTCTTGTCACAATGTAAAAACATTTTGTCTCCATCTGTATACTAAAGTAATTTGTCAACTTTTGGACCCAGAGTAATTAATGTTTTGGCATTTTTCTGGAACTTGCTGCTGAGTTTAAGGCTTCCACCAAGTATTTATTTATTTATTTATTTATTTTTTTAGTCAGTGCTATTTAAAAGAATGATGTTTTCCATGGGATGGTGACAAATACACATTTTCATGACTTTTTTTTCCTTTACAATTAACTGTACCATTTTATTTAAATGTTAAACCTTCAGGATTTCCTAGGCAGTTCAGTGGTTAGGACTCAGCACTTTCTTGCCATGACTTGGGTTCAATCACTGGTCAGGGAACTAAGGTCCTGCAAACTGTGTGGTGAGTGTGGCCAAAAAAAAAAAATTAAAACTTAGAAGGTGGAATATAGTTATTTATTACTCAGTATGTGGCATTTAATACAGGTTCTGCAAAATATTAATGCTGCAAACCTTGGTACATACAGTAGCTGGGCAGATCCTACAGAGGCTGCATTTGTATTGACTCTGCGAAGAGTGTACTTGTAGGGCAGCTACTGCTCCATTTTAGCTGATTGTTGTCCTGCAGTAACATGGGCCCAGTGATGGGTGACCCTTTTGATTTTTCAAGAAGAACTGGAGATCTAGATTGAAAAACAT